TGCATCGCCTGCCGCTCGCCATCACCGTGCCACCCGCAGCCGGTGCTTGAAGCCAGCACCAGAACGCGGCCTCGTGCACCGCTCGCCGTCAAACGGCTTGTCAGCGCCGCTGCCTTCCCGCCCGCGTGCCGTCACGCCCGGCGGCCCGAGCGAGCAGCACATCTGCCCTCAATCAGCCGGCTGAAGCTGAACCACGCGTGCCCACGCTACTCCTGGTCCTGGAGTTGGAGCCGAGTCGGCACACCACCACACGGCACACGCGCAGCCCGAGCCTCCCTCCACCATGGGCACCATGGGCCTCCGGACGCGCGGCCCACAAGCGAAGAAGCATGGGCCTCTACGCTGAAGGCGACGTTCCCTCGCGTTAATTGTGGCTTAGGTTCCGTTCCCCAATTTTCCTGGGGCTGCTGCTCCTGCGCCGCGCTCCCTCTCTCTCTCTCTCGTCTTCTCCCTCGCGGCGATCCGGATTCCGCAGCAACGGCCCCTCTCGTCTTCTCCCTCGCGGCGCTCGATCACTCCGGATTGGCGCGTGGCGGGTTCGGTGGTAAGGAAGCGATACTTCGTTTGGATTCATTGACCGTTTCCATTTATTTGGTGTGAGCGTTCAAATCGAAATTTCTCTCTGGGATGGATGCTCCGATCATGGCGATTCACTTGGCGTGTTTGACAGAGTGTGATGGCTGTTTATTTCCAAATTTTGGGGTCGACTGATCACGATGTCCCCGTGTTATGTCCGTATGTGCAGATGGCAGAGTACGAATTAAATATACGCATGCGCAGGGGATCAATCGGCGTGTATGCTGATTTATTTAAGGAATCAAGTTACTCTTATTGATTAGTACCTTTTACTCTCGCATTTTAGACCAGGAAATATATTTATCTCTTTGCTTTTAATCATTTTGAATCATTTAGCAGCAGCCTCAAAATCTATGATATAAAAATGCATTGTGATAACATTGGATTTCAGCCTGTAGTGCTGCTTTGCCAAGACACGCCTCTAAACATTGCATTGTTGGTTGTAAATTGTGCCATGTAGCTTCTGAAAATTCTACGCGTGCTTTTTCATTCTGAGGGTGTTTGATCTACTGCATCACTTTCCCAGTTTAGAGGAGAGAAACAAGTGCGGATTGACACCAACAGGGTATTCTTACCATTTTCAGATTCAGCTGGTTGAACAAAACTAGTGAAGATGGCATCAGAAGGGAACAAAGATGTACCTAATGAAGCTTTGTCCGTGGACCAGTCATCGATTTCTGGTGTGAAACGCAAGCGTGGCCGCCCAAGGAAATATGAGTATCCTGTATATGAATTACCACAGAAGGTACAGCCCATCCAGAGTGCCCCCCCTCTTCTTCACTGCACACAAGATGGCTCAAGTATGGCCAGCCATACATTAGGTGGCAGTGCTCATGGTAATTGGTCCGGTCAACCTAGAAATTCGGCTAATGCTTCTCTTCAAGGTAATTCTGGCAAGGATGACTTTCTTGGCAAGCATTTTGTTGGCAAGCTGACCAAGAAAGTTCCTGGGTTTTCCCTCATTACGGTAAAAGTGAAGGACAATCAGGTGTTCAAAGGTTGGGTTCCAGATGAAATTAATCTCCGTCCAATAACACCTAAGGATGACCTTGCCCCAGAGCTACCCATGCTTCGACCAAGTCAAGTTCGAAAGCGAGCATCAGCAATCCATATGCAACCTGCTCTTCCTGTGCCAGTTCACTTGGACGATGTTACACTTGCAAAGCCTCTGCAGATGAGGAGACCTGTTGAGAAAACTATTGCTAAGCATGTTGTGCCTCTTGCTCCTAGGCCTTACATTGGTTCTGGTGTTGTTGCAGCAGTACCTATATCAGTTGCTCCCAGTAATCCTGAAATGAGAACTTTGGCCAGGCAGGATGCTGAACTTGTGATCCCACAATCATCAGTTGCTGCGGTGCCAATTAAATCTGTCCGTCCTGTCTCGGTACCATGCAAGCAACTGGCTAATCAAAATGAGTTTACTGGAAAGAAGTCTGTTGATGAGGTTCAGAAAGATTCAGAATCTCTAAATGTAACCAAGGAATCACCAGGTATGCTTTGCTGGATTGATGCCCTGTTGTGTTTCAAATCTTTGACTTGAATTCTCGAAACTGTTTGGTCCCGTAGACTGCATTTCCCATCTGATTTTTCAATCTCATAAGTCTTATGGCTGCCATATTAACGCTTGTAAATTTGTCCTTTTGTAGTGAAAGATGAAAAACCAAACATTGCTCTTGTGGATGTAGTGGTCAAGGATTCTCCAGGTCAAATCTAGTTTATGTGCTACCTTTTATATAAAAATGAAAATTGTCTCTGGGTTGAGAGACTTCAACTAATGTAGCCCGATCTCCTTACCTTGATTGGTTCCTACAGGGGAAAGGCAACAGCTTAATGATCAAGTAACAGATGTGCTTAGGGAATCTTCTGGTAAGATCTACAATTCTATACTTGAAGTATAACTGGCATAGTGCATGTAGTCTAAGTGCTCTTTCTCCTGGCAGTTCAAACTCAGAACGTTGATGTGACAATGTCTGATGAGATCAAGATAGCATCAGGTAAAATATAATTTTATACTCCTGATTTTCAATTCCATATTATTTTATTAAAACTTAGAAGTGACCATTAAGTGGGGGGATTTCTTCAGGCGCCAGAGATCAGCCAAATTCTGCAAATAGTGAACAGCAGAGTTCTAAGGAACCATCAGGTGATACATGATCCCAATATTTCACACGCTTAAGAAACTGGCCATGATCTTATACCGTGGGTATGAAAATTTAGACATCACAGAACAATCTGAGCAGCTGAAGACAGAGACCGATGTCCAGAAAGGAGTTGATGCCTCAAAGTCAGATGCCTCAGGTAAAAGGAAAGCCTACACCTCTCCTTTTAATGTTTCTAGTGGCATCCAAATCTTGATTTTATGATAAAGTATTGCGATGACTGAATATTTTTGTGTTGATCAAATCAAAGGGAATGTAATGATTTGATTATACCCTTTTATCTGCACAAACTAAAAGGTTGTACTAAATGTAGGAATTTGTAATTTTGTTGAACTGCATCCAAGATGTCTAGTTCTCTTGTGTACTCTCCTCTGCCCTCTCTTGATGAAATGATTATGATATGCAGCTCTCATGCGTTCGAGAAAAAAGATATATAATACTTTATCCTACACTTTTTTGGACCCTACTAAGCCCATGCCAAATTTGTTACAAAAATTTGTACCTGTGCGCAATTTGTTATCTACCATGCATAACTAGACTGGGTGGCCATGGCTCACCCTAACCTACCTTTTGCCTATGGCTGAAGCTTTTAGTACAGGCAACTTATAGCATATAAATGTCACCTCCTAGGTGGCTACACTGCCTACCTTGTCGGGAGACTTCTCTTTTACTGCGAGAGCTAACAAACTACTGCGGTGTTTAAATTTGTATAATTCCAGACATTCAGCCTGCGCATGATGAACAAGAAATGAAGGATGGCGGTAAATGAAAGTAGAGATCAAGATTCAACGAGCACAACACAGATCTTGATGTTTAGTGAAAGTTTGCTGCCTGTAATGTTTCTGTCAGGCTTATTGGGATGTGGAGCTGGAGTTTTTGTGAATGGACCAATGCTTTAGGTGTAGACTCCTACCTTTACATTTTAGTTTTATTCCTCTGCAAGTATAGGTGAGAGATTAAGTAGAGGTACAGAAACCCAAAAAAAAATCACCTAGGACATAGCAGTTATAGCACAGATAGAATTGCAAACCAGAAAAAAAAAAGGAGAAAGAAACATACTTGATGGGACTTTTCATTTTTAGGAAGATGACATGACTTAAAGTTATTTTGAACTCCTGGTCTTGTAATATGGCTTTTTGACATTTTAAGCTCTATTCACAGGCATAAGGAAACCTGATGCTATACAGGAAAATTTGCATGTTAATATGTTACGTCCCTATTGTCTATTGTTAATTTCCCCAAAAAAAATATTTTCAACAGATTTTGTCCCTTTATTTTGTACCTAAATTTACTATCCTTTTTAGTTGTGTCGTTGCCTTGCTGCTCTTACCCCTGCTGTTCAGAAAATTTGCATGTTCAAACAATTGCAAAGCTAATTGGAAGGACAGTTGCACACCATTACATATTCTTATAATTCTTCTGAGATTCTGAAGTATTTTCAATACAATTCTACACATATGACTTGCATGTTTACAAAATAAACAGTTTAAACCTACTAGTTTTTAAGGCTTGACTATGTTGTCCTATATGACTTGCTCTTAGGCCAGTTGGGAGTTCCAGGGTCCTATTTCCAACTCCCAGACGTTGGACACAGGCCAGTTGGGAGTTTCAAGGCCCTATTTCAAGACTCCTAGATGTTGGAATCAGTGTAAAGTTTCATCCCTATGAAACTTTTATCACCTCTCTCTTCGTTTATACAATGTCATGTCAACTTATTTAATGCCCGTAAAACTCTCATGAAACCCCCATTGAGATTGAGACTGGCCTTATGGCTGGTTTTAGTAAAACAATTTCGATCAATGTGAGCTCTAATAGAAAAAGAATATGGCTGACATTACAGAAATAATATTGTCGAACAAAACTTCATGTTTTTTCTTAAACAAACCTTCAAAAGTTGTTACACTTACAAGATGAATGTACATTAGCCTCGTCAAAATAAGGCCTTCACTATCTTAATCTTTTACAATGTCACATTGTACATAGTGCTCTTGGAAGAAGAAAAGGTGTTGCTAAGATAACAAAGAATTGCTGCAATTTCTCTCTATTTCATTTTACTGCCCCATGGAACCCCTCTAAAAAGAATATTTCGGAAACCCACACCAAGCATGAAGAATGGCAAGAAGTTGCAAAGCCCTTTCCAACTAAAATACGGACACAGACCAGCAACTGACAAGTGAATCAACAGACTAGGCAAAATCGCGTCCTTTCAGACGTATACCCCAAACCAAAGGGGTAAGCCAGGATTCTTCCAACAAAAGGAGATTGTCATTGGTACGTTCCTGGGACCATGCTGCTTGCAGCAGGGACCATGATGGGATGAATGGCCTGGAACGGCTGCACAAGTGGTGCAGGGCTTGGCACCACCAATGGCAGGTTCCCAGTTGCCATGACTGGAGGGGCCAAATACACCGGGGTGTTGCCTAGAGAAAAGATTTTGCAGGTACTTCCATGGTCAGTTCAGTCCAAAACAAGTATGTTCCATTCGAGAAAAAGAAACTTAAGCTAAACATTGCAATATCATTTCTACAGTAGCCAAAACCATGTTTTTTTGGTCTGTTACCTTGGAACTTCTGCATGCTAGCTTGATATGAATTCAACAGCACAGGGCGAGGCCATCCTTGAAAACCAAGGGGTGTTCCATGCATTGCATCCTTCAACGGGAGTCAAGAATAGATGAGCCAACAGGAAGGGGAAAAAATATGTGCTAACTTATACTATTTAGACTACATATCATGTGTATGAAACATGGTTGGTTACTTGCCAGAGATAACAAGATTAAACAGGTTAGCAGATCAACCATGACAGAAAAAAACCATTCCAAAAGAAAACAGTTCATTCCAGTTAACAAACTACTTAACATGTAAAACAATCTGTGCGACGTCAGGGTTGGCAGCAAAGGTCAATTACATGTGAAGAACACTCAAAGTTGCAGGAGTGTAAAGCTAAAATACTTTACCCAAGGTCTAGGTTTTATATATAAATATAATAGTGAACAATTCTCTGCATCGTCGTCCTATTCTTGTTATTATCCACTTTAAGTGTCAAGGCAAATAATAATTGTGAATCACTCACCTGAGGAACTGGTTGAACATAAACAACAGGACTGAACTTCCCAGTCATTACCTATCGTGTCGTCACATAAAATAATTTTTTTTTATTAGAGCACAAATTAACATAACTTTATGTATATAAGGACAGGGAATTTAGACTTACAGGCTGAGGACTAGGGGTAGTGTAGGTTGCGCCCACCTGCATGGGATGGTATGGTGTGCCAACTCTAGTTGGGTCTAGCCTGGATACATTATGGCCCACGATCTATGACCCAAAAGGTTAAGCAGTATCAGAATTCAGAAGCATGATAATGTTAGAATTAGACATTCACGATAAAGGCAGCAAGCAAGTCCAAATTTTAGTGTATTGGCATATACTTGCACAAAGTACAGTAACAGAGCATAAAAGACAAGTGGTTAAAAGAAGCCTTAAGTCAAACATAAAATACATTTACATGTGAGCTAGTTTTTTCAGTTCGGAGTAAAAAGATGTGATTTTTCTTGCATCAGAATGAAATTAAAGTTGCTGTGCTAAGCTGTAAGTTGACGTGAACAATCGGTTTACAATTTCAATTTATTCATTTAGGCCAACAGAAAAGGTAAATTAGCCAGCTAACAAATAAGAATGACTTGCATAGCTCAACTGCAAAGCACATAGGAGTAAGTGCAGGAGCTCAAAGAACAAATAATAATGGAGTAACCCATGTGCAGCAAGTTATCAACTTGAACTATAGGAGGCATGTTACAAGTTGCTATCCAATATTTCCTTTTTTTAATATCAAGGAATACTATAGTATTATCCAATGAAGGGTGAAACAATTGAAACTACAAAAGCACATAAGAATAGATCGAAGTACTTACTGACTGAACATATTGAGGTGAAATGGCATAGTTTGCAGGAGACAGGTTACTACAATGAACCTTGTTGGATAGAGGTGAAACGTCTGACACAGATTTTGACTCATATACAGGTACGCCCATTGGTACTTCAGGGGCAGAGTGTGAAATGTAGTATGTGTCAACAGGGGCCGTCGTAGCTGCAAGTACTTGCCTAGAACTTGCAAAAGATGGAGAGAAGACCTTTGCGCAAGGATTGAGTTTAAATTCCTGAAATAATGTACAATTGCTCTATTAACATAGGGGGGAAAAAGGATTCATAAGACAACCGGCATAATCAACAAATCTGTACAGCTAGCAACTACAGGTATGGTCAAAACTCAAAACAGAAGATAAAATCTGCAAGCACTAATAGGTCAGAAGTCAGATCACTACAGAACTGTCAAAATCCAATATCAAATGAGCTCACCTTAGCAGCGGTTTTGCTTGACGTGACAATCTTGGTAACTGAATTATTGACTGGCTGAGAGGGTTTAACATCTGAAGCCACCACGGGCGCAGCTATAGCTGAACTTGTAACAACATCAACTTTAGGCACCATAGTTGCAGACCTAGAAACCCCAATCATGGAGAAACATGGCCCCGCATGTCCGGTTGAAGAGCTTAAACTTGTAGTGCTACCACTATCTGAGCAATTGAGCAGATTTAATGCAAAGGGAGCTAAGGGAAGAAATACTATGTTGGTAACAGAAGAAACAAAAGGGATTCATACTTTGACCATTTTTCTTAACAGAAGTGTTTTTCTCCTGACCCACTGAGGTGCATTTCTCAGCTTGCCTGTGACAAAAATAATATTAATTGTTCAACAATGGAAAGAAGGAAGAATTTAATGAAGTTAACTAGATTCCTTGATATCTATTGCTTGAACCCACATGAAAAAGAAAAAACAATTTCTCATTTACACTGGGGCCAAGCACGATGCATACTACAATCCAAATATGATATATATGGAACAATACGAAAACAGTATGCATAGATGGAATTGAGAACATACATAAGTGGAGACATATTTTCAGTTTTTGACATTTTCGGGTCATTTGCTGGTGAAGTTTGAGGCTTCAAGGATCCACTGGCAGCCACCACGTTGGAATCAAGAGGTCTACAAACACCTTTAAGGGGGAGGGAAAGACCCTGCAGAAAAAGAAGAGCTATCATGAACACTGGTACAGGACAATGCCTCTCCTAGCATGCTACTGAATTAACCAACCTTTGCAATCACTTGAACAAGGTCATCTGGGCAAATAACAAGAGTGTCCACAAACGATCCCAGCGACAGATTTGCATCTCCCTTCCCGTTTGCAAACTTCTTTGCTTTCTTTAGCACAACACCTGATCAACATGAAGTCATCAATGCAATGTTTTTTCCCAACAGAAAGACGATTTTTCATCTTTAAATATTCGGCGCTTCAACTCGCAGCACGTATATAGGACAAACCAGTAATAAATGCCTACCACAAAAGTAGAGCATACTCTATTTACATACATTGTACTAGAAACTAGGAGCCCTCCCTATGATCTTGGAATTCCACAGTGCCTCATCCCCATAATCCATACCTTGAGCCCAATCATGCCGCGGTTGCCACGACACCGCAAAATCAACACCTCAACCAAGACGAAAAGACCGAGATCTTGGCCGCTAACAAAAAAAAGCATGCATAGCTGTAACACAAGAGGAACCAGACCCAGCGATCTCTACCACCCGCCTCCAAATCCATCCCGACGCACCGAGAAAACTAACATCCCGCGGGCTCCCAGCGACCACAATCACCCGTCCAGCGAGCAGATCAAACGGATGCAAAGGAAAACGGGGGGCACCAGCGAGCCCGGCAGCACCCACCGCCCAACTCCACCCACTGTTGGATCACGTCCCGGACGGCATTCCCGCGATCCCCAAACCCTGCGGGGCAACCCCAGCGAGGGCGAGCTTTTACGAGCGGCGGCGGGAGGGAAGGGGAGTGAGGGAAGAGCGGAGCACGCACCGTATCCGGCGTCGACGCAGGCGGTGTGGAAGACGCCGGCGTAGGCGGATCCGTCGCGGACCCGCACCTCCACGGGCAGGCCCACCATGCAGACCGTGGCCAGCAGCAGCGCCTCGGCGATGGACGGCGCCGCCGCCTTGGGCGGCGAGGGCGGCGGCGGCTTCGCCTTCCTGGGGCGGGCCATGGGAGAGAGAGAGAGAGAGAGGAGGGGAGGCGTAGGAGCCGACCCGAAAAAGGCAAGCGGGGAAAGGACCAAGGGGCGCGGCCGTGTGACTCGCACTCGCTTCGGATCGGAGGTGGCACCGCAACGCGAGTGCTCGCGCCTTTTGTGCTCCGTGACTCCGTTCCTTTCCGGGTTGATGATGCGTCTGTTCTTGCTCCGCGCGAATCTTAAAGCCTGGCGGCGTGATTTTTTTTTTTATGTTATATAGGTGATCTCGGTATGTACGCGAGCCAGCATGGGCATGTTTGGAGTTTTTTTTATTACATGCACCAAATTTTGCATGCGCATGTAACTCTTTGAATTTTGAAACGGAGAAAGGCGTCGCCAAGGGGAAATAAGCGCAATTTGTTGTAGAAATTCAAATGATAGCTAAATCTGATCTCGTTTGTAAAAAGTAAGCATCGGTAATGCCTACTCAAAAGGTGGTTCCTAGTACAAGCTCGGTGTTTATCATTCATGTAAACTGACGTGTGTTACGAATATATGCGTAATTTATGTTTTTGTTGCTGTTCACGATCGTATCCTATCACTTGACAAGGCGAAGTGACATCGCTGCCACAAGCGGTTCATGATATGATATCGTAAAGAAACATCCATGGTGCAATTCCACGCAGAATACTGAAAACGATTTATCGTACTGTAACTGTAATACCACTGTGCTCAGATTTGGACGGCCACGAAACCGATGGTACCTCATGCTTACAGTCACAAGGCTTCAACAAAAAATATTAACCTGAGAACAAAACACAGTTGTCCGTAGTTATAAAGAACGAATCCAACGCTATAATAAAGTAACCAGAAAAATGGGATAGGAAACAAACGGCACAGTGCATATATAGCATCATCACAGTAGATAAGCAATACACAGTAATACAGATAACAATAGATCCGAGAAGCATGGAAAGAAACTAAGCATGTCTCAACATAGCAATCACAGTAGAGCACCACTTGTTCATAGACACAACACAGTGCATATATATGATAAAAATAGATGAAACCGGGCCATGGGGCCATCAAAATCAGGAGCCTTTCGAAACCACCTCTATTGACAAGAATGCAATATAAGAGTGCCTTGAAATAGTATTAATTAATTCCATCTCGACAACCCAATGACCTACCCGAGCAAACACGCCTCACTGCAAGAAAGAAAACAAAGCAGCGTGTGATCAGTAAATAAGGTTATATAAACATCATGTAATGCCCATTGATCCTGGCACGTAAGCCAGGTTAGGCAATGTGAACGATGGCAATACACTTGTTATTAGTGGAGATGATTTTGTCACCATTTAAACTCTAAATGGCATTAATTAGCTAGGAGCTTCACCTGTTGTTGCTGTGGCTGCTGTGCAGCTGGTTGCTGTTGGTAATTGGGATAACCAGCATAAGCACCATAACCATACATGTTAGGATCCTGAGGTTGTGCATACCCACTGCCATAAGCCTCATAACCTTGTCCATAGCCACCATAGTAACCACCAGCACCAGCAGCTGCTGCTGCACCCCATTGGTTGGATTCCTGCTGAGGCTGAGAATTTTACATCACAGTATTAGCACTTCATCTACACTATAAAACATGGCAGGAAGAAAAGTGGTATGCAAATGACCTGAGCCTGCTTGTTCGACAGGCTTCTGCCCCACGAAAGCCGAACATTTTGCGCACCAATCAAGGCCCCTTGCAGCATTAGCAGTGCTTGCTCGGCAGAAGGTCTGAAATGCATTGTCATAGTAACTTAGACAAAAATACTTTTACAAAATACATGCCAATATACCAAATGAGTAAATAAAGGTCAACCTGGTAACAAACTGAACAAAACCACATCTCTTCCCAACAGGGATCTTAACATGGACGACTTCACCATAAGGAGAAAAAACTTGTTTTAGGGCATCTTCAGTGACATTGGGGTCAAGCCCACCAACAAATATCTGAAGACAACAACAGAATAAAGTTAACAAAAAACTGGGAGATGAATTGACTGATATGCAGAAAAAAGAATTAAGAACGCACGGTGGTATTGTTAGGATCATTCTCAGACTGAGCTCCTTGAGAATTTGGTACTGTAAATAAAAGCAAAAAAGTGAAGGCAGCATATATTGTAAGATTTGATGAATAGCAATATCTAATAAATGAATGCTAACAACGAAAAAGCCTACAGGTCGCTAAAGTTATTAGGTTCACACATATTCGATAATGAGAACATTTACCAATGGCAAAATGTGCATGCATATCGTGTTATATGCACATAGGAGAATAGAATGCATCAGAGCAATTATACGAAGTTAGCCCATCTAAAGCATACAATTATGAAGAAATCTTGGTATTGGTAAGAACATTAGTCAACTAGACGGGTCCAAAATTCAGGTAACATAGGATTCAAGCGGCTAAACTGCCAAAGAGAGAGCCAATAAGAAATAAATTATGTAGAAAATTATTTATTGGTCCAAGGCAAAAAAATGTTGTTTTGGTACACTGTGCATAAAGCATGGAACCAACCTGCACCAATAGAACAAAATATGGAACACACTATGCAATTAAAATCTCAGCTCTAACCATTACTTCATATCTCAGATTAGCTAAGTAGATACAGACCATGCACATGTGCTATTGTGCACAGATATTGATAAATCCAAGTTGAAGGAAACAAAGGAAAACTGATGAATACATAGTCAAGACTCGACCATCATCACCTAGAACAAATTGAAGAGAATAAAAAGGCAGTAAAAAGTATACTCCACACCCCCCAAAAAAAAAAAAAAACCTTGTAGGGAAGGAGCTGACAAGTATTTCTAAGCTTTAGGAGTCTAAATATATGGGAAAGAGTTTTCAATCCCTCAGCCGTAGCAGAAAGCATGCACTAATAAAAGATGTACAAAAAGAAATTGTGCACTAAGTGCATACACAGACGAAACAGAATCAGAGATAGCATGGAAAAGTACAAAGGACCAGAAACTTAAGGAAACCAACTTTGAATTTAGGACATAAATGATTTACACTGACCTAAATGAGGCCACGCATTAAACAAGAAATGCATTGCAGCTCAGGTCAGTTCCAAGGCTCCTATACGAATAGAGCCTGTTGGTATCCTGCTTCCAGATAACATGAGTTCCATGAGTCTACTATCGTTCTATGCATTAAATTATCCAAATTCACACTGGGAATGTTGTACTAGGAATAATGACTTCTGGAAGTGAAGTGGTCGACACCTATTCCTAACTTTGATTTGAACACAAGTAATAAAACAACCCAAAAGGGCTAATATGAACATAACAAGTCAAATGTATCCTCAATTGCATCAATCAACAAACATGTAGAGGCTAACAAGAATCACAAGGACATGAGACTGGCCATGCTTACCTCTCTCTTGAACAACACCTCCTGTATTCTTCCTACTTGCTGCAGGACCAATACGCATAGGCCTGGAAGAACAAGGCATTCCATTCATTTCAGTCATTGCACGAGCTTGCTCTGTAGGATCACCAAATTTCACAAACCCATATCCCTTTGTGCGCATTGTCAATTTATCAGTCACAACTTTTGCACCCTTCACCGAGGGATAATGAACCCTGAATGTCTCTTGTAACAAGTAATCTGTAACATCTGCAGCCAAATCCCCAACGAAAATAGTATAGTCAGGAGTATCATCACGCTTTTCACCAGCACTGGCCCAGTTCAGCCGAAATGTCAACTCAACATTTGGCATCATCTGTCCATTGTATGTCTGAAGAACTCGCTCTGCAGCTGCATGGCTTGTAAATTCAACAAAACCATAGCCCTGAAGCTGTCCTGAATTCTTGTCACGGATGAGCTTCACATTTTGAACCTGAAAAATCATGTAAATATGAAGTAAAGGTTCAGAAAATCATGAATGCATGGGCAGCATACATCTATAAACACCAATCAGGAAACTCAAACTGAAGCATATAAATAGTCTTGCGCAAAAAAAAAAAATGGCTCAATGGCTGCTAAACATTATTACCCTTGGGTAGAAGAAATAGGCAGCAAAAAAAAAACAGAAAACAACAATTTTAAGTTATTTTACGAGATATACAACTATCGCCAGATCATGCTAACAATTCATGAAACAAAATTTAAAATTAACGATTCAATCATAAAATATAGCCCAGAGCTTGATCATTACAATAGGTTCTAGAATCACTACAAACTAACTTAGCCTGGAGCTTCAATCGTCAGCAGTCGTACGAAATTAACAACAAAACTAGTAAACAATCAAAATCTTTATAAACCTTAAAGCAAGACCTATTAGCCGCAGCAAAGGGCGCGGGCGCATCATATATTCCGTGAAGAGCAACAATCGAAATCACACGCATCAACCGCCAGCATCAATCAGATCGGGTGACATACCTCCCCAGTGTTCGCGAAGCATCCGAAGACATAGTTCTCGTCCATCCAGTACTGCAGGTCCCCGATCCAGAGCGTCCTGACCTCGTCCGTCAGATCGGGGGCGGCCGGCGCCGGCGCCGGCGCCTGCGGTGCGGCGTAGTACGGCTGAGGGGGCGGCGGCTGCCCGTAGTGCGCCTGCGGCGGAGGCTGGCCCCACATCGCCGGAGGTTGCTGCGGAGGCGGTGCGCCGTACTGCTGCGTCATCGGCGGCGGAATCCCGCCCCACTGCGGTGGCTGCCCGCCACCGGCCTGAGGAGGAGGAGGCGGTGCCATGCCCGGCTGCGGCTGCGGCGGCGGGGGCTGCTGCATCATGGCGACTTGGCGAGACGACCTAACCCTAGCAGAGACGGGAGAGAGGGAGGAGGGACGGCGAGGAGGAGACGGGGGACGAAGGAAAATTCCGGGTTGACATTTGTCTCATGTCTGTATACGAGGAGACTTTACGTGGGCCGTGGGCCGTGGGCCGTGCGGTGGTGCTGGTCCGATTTGGTAGTGCACTAGTGCTTACTTCGTCAGTCGGGACAGTATTTTTCTCTCACACGAACCAGTCAGCAGTACTTCT